ACAACTGGCACGCCACCCAGCCGCACACGGAGAGCACTAGATGGATGGATGGATGGATGGATGGGCGGACGATTTAGCAGACAGACACTAATTCTCTCTTCAGTAGCACTTCAACCTGGCTAATCCTAAAAACTACCTGGTGATGAGGGATGGAAGCAAATTTTTAGGAAATATAGATTATCAGATCCACCTCTTGATTTTCTGATTCAAAGGTCTGGAAAGGCCAGGAAACGATGGTTTTACCGAGACGTGAAGTTGAGGAATCTCGAGTCCTCACTATGAGGAGTGGTGGACGGAGCAGGAGACCCCGAGGGAAAGCAGCAGAGAGCAGGTGCGTCATGCAGAAGAGGACGGGCGTCCGTGTGGCTCGCAGGGCAAGCGGAGCTCAGACCAGAGGGTTCAGGGAGACGGTGACGCTGACGCAGAAGCCAGACCTTAACCCAGGCCACCAGCACATTTGCTTGTGTTGGGCCTCTGCAGCAAACAGAAGCAGCATCAATCAACATTGATTGTATTGGAGACCAGAGGTTATTGGCATTTTGGAGCAGTGAGCAAACAGACAGCGGCTGCTACGCATTCGGTAAAGCAAGTAATAAACTGTTGCCGTGTGCCAAGCTGGGGTGTGCACAGCACCGTCATCCTCCCCGCCGCTCGGGAAGTGAAGCTTCTGATGAAGTTTCCGTAGGGGAAACTGAGGCCAGGTGAGGCGAAGTAACGTGCGCGGGACCACAGCCGGTCTGACTGCAGACGTGGTGGAAGACGTGGTGGAAACCGCCCTGCGGCGTGGCTGGTAGTGACCCACGAAGGGGGTCAGTAGGCGCTCCTGAGCCGCGTGTGTGGCTCCAGGCTCTGCCCTGGAGAGAAACTCTCCTGAGAACAGGTTCGCGTAGGACTTAGAAGCATAAACTGGGGAAATGTTGTTGGACAAGAAGCGGCAGGCTGCCCTGTCCGTGCCGAGTTTGGGGCCAGCAGCTCCGCGTGATTTCTGTGTCTTTCTGAGGGTGGAGACCGGTGGCCCATGGAAGCAGCGAGGCCAGCCCCGGGCACCCAGCGTGCAGAGGCCTCGCTCAGCCAGAGGCGGCAGGTCGGGGGGCCGTCACGGGACGGCAGTCCCCCAGGGGCAGGTGTGGCCGCGGACGGAGCGCAGAGAAAGGGGATGGGGACAGCAGGGTGCCCGGGGGAGCCTGACAGTCCTGGGAGCCTCAGCACGGCGCAGGGCTCTCCCGGGGCTGGAGGGGACCCGTGCCGGGAGGCTCCCAGCCCCCTGAGTGCCATGGCTCCACAGGGGCCTACCTGTGCTCCTGGGGCTCCGGGTGACCCCGGTTCTCTCCTTGGCCTCCCTACCGGCCCACTGGCAGGGCATGGAGTCGGAACAGGTCAGCCTGCAGGTGTCACTGGGCGTGACTGGTCTTGAGCTGGGGCCGGGGGGTGCCCGCAAACGCACATGTTGAAATGCTACCCCAGTCTGACTGTGTTTGGAGATATGGGGAGAGTAAGGATCAACCGAGGTCACAAGAGTGGGGTCCCAATCCAGCAGGGTTGGGGTCTGCGTAAGAAGAGGGAGAGAGAGCCCCTCCATCACGTGCAAGCGGACCCCTGGGAGGCAGCGGTGTGCAAGCTGGGAAGGGGGTCCTCACCAGACACCCACCCCGCTGTGCCCTCCCCCCCGGACGCGCAGCCCCCCTGCGCTGTGGGTCCGCACCACCTGAGTCAGACCTGCCCACGGCTCTGGGCAGTGCCACCCACTGGGCTTCCTCAGTTTCCCCATTTCTGAAATGGAGACCACGCGATCTAAATCGCAGCTGGTTCTAAGGATTAATGAGGTTGGTATGAGCAGCATGCGTCGTCGGTACCTGGCAGGCCACAGTCTTACTGCTGTTTTTATTATGGTTATTTGGACTTGGACGTACACTCTGGTTGGGTTAGTTCGGGACGGTGAGCCAGCCCCTGAACCTTTACTACTAGAAAACCTTTACTACTGTGGAAGCAGCGTCATGTGCATGGCTCAGGTTGTTTGGCTCAACTGCTGATTGGTGTGAACTGAGTGAACTCCGTTGTAAAAGGTCAGGCAGCTTTGAGAGGCCCTGGGGTGTTGGCGTCTCCTGAGCCGGGGAAGCAGGTGCCGCTGCCCTGCAGCTTCACCGAATCTCGGAGGCCATGACTTTGCTTTACGACAAAGCGAAGACCACGATGACACAGTAACGTGATGCTTTCTGATCACCAGGGTCACTTTGTGCACACCAGTGCGCCGTCCCAGAGCCCGGATCCGCTTGTGCAGACGGCAGACACACATTTGAGCACAGCCCTGGGTCGGGCTTTCCCTGATCCATTTCCCAACACGGTGCCCATGGTCTTCTGTCCGTGTTGGGGACACGGCGTTTCTCAGAGAGCCTGCCGGGCAGCCGATGTCCCTTCCAGAACTTTCTGGAGCTGGTCGGAAGGTGGCAGTGGAAAGCCATCTGGTAGGAGTGGGAAGGCGCAGGCCTCTGCGTGTGGGTTCTGATGGCCAGCATGCACGGTGCCGTGTCCACGCGTGAGGCAGTCAGGGAATCACGATGCACCGGTCCCTAACCTGGGCACAGAGTTCTCCACAGCGGGGCTGGAGCCGGTTTTCTCCACTTACTGGGGCTCATTGCCATGTTTCCAGAGATTTTGTGAGCCAGTTGTGAAAAATGACATTTTACACACATTTAAGTGACGTTGAAAACGGAAGGACCCGGTACCTGGCTCATTCACTACATTTTACTGTTCTCTGCACACTTGAACATTTGCGTCCCTGTTTGTGGGCGGTGGGAACATGGGGTAACCACGTGGCACCCACACCACGGCTCGACGGTTCCTGGGCGTGTGGTGAGCCCGCACAGCGCGGCTCGAAGATGTGCATGGTCGTGAGCGGGAGTCCCCGGGAAGGTCTCTGGCACCTGGGGGCTTGGTGCTTGGCAGGTGATGCTGCGTCCAGCGAGCTGAGGTCAGCAGTGCATTTCTGGTGCGGGGAAAGGGCCTGCCCGAGGGCCTGGGGCTCGGAGGAGTGCCTAGGCCTGAGGGACTGGTCGGCACGCCTGCGTGCGTCTGCGGAGACATGAGGGGAGGGCTTGTCTGCACTGCGGGAGGGTCCGAACTTCCCCGGCAGACCCGTGAACGAGCAGGCGTTCGGGCAGAGAACCGCCAGCATTCGGCCTCCTGCTGGTGCGGGTGGAGACAGGCCCGCCGCCTCGACAGGACGTTTCCTTGGAACACAACCAGGATGGTTTCCTTAAGGAGGGTCCCGGCAGCCTCGTCACTGGGGGGCAGGTGGAGCCCCCGGCCACCCAGCTTGGAGGTCTCCGCCTGCCCCCTTGCAGCAGGTTTGCTGACTCTGGGACTGCATTCCCTACGTTGCTGTGGTTGGGCCAGTTGGAATACCTGTCACTGCTCTGTGGCAACAAATGGAGTACTTTTTAAATTCCATTTTCATGTGCTTTCTGTTCTTCAGCCTATTTAAGAGTTCACTATTATTCCCCCCAAAAGTAGCTTGCCATTCAGCAAAACGTTTCCTTTGTTCACAGAAGAACATTAAAATCGATTGCTTTGTACTGTCTCTCTTGAAGACTGCCCTCCTCCATTCAGGGTTTCCATTTGGGCCGCCGCGTCGCCACGCCCTCCCCCTGCTCCCGCACCCGAGCGTGAGGCTCTGAACCAGACAGGGGTGTGTTTGCCTCATCCTTTCAGAGTGTGGGGATAATTACCTGCATGTAAAAATAATGTGATTTGTTCAAAGGGGAAAACTTTCTAGAAGACAACGAAAGGCCCCCAGATGAGGCAGGCGGGCTGTAACGGGATCTCATTCGCATCCCTGCACAAGATAGAATGCCATCACCCAAGATTAACAGGGGCGGACACAGTAAGAGGTGGAGTAATCGATGTTTTCTTGGTCTCATTCGGCATTAACCACAATGGCAAGGCACTCTGCATTCTTTTTTTTTTTTATTTTTATTGTTATGTTAATCACCATACATCACATCATTAGTTTTTGATGTAGCGTTCCATGATTCATTGTTTGCGTATAACACCCAGTGCTCCACGCAGAACGTGCCCTCCATAATACCCATCACCAGGCTAACCCATCCCCCCACCCCCTCCCCTCTAGAACCCTCAGTTTGTTTCTCAGAGTCCATCGTCTCTCAAGGTTCGAAGGCACTCTCCATTCTTAGGGTCTGCAATAAAACTCTGTTTTTCCTGGTTTTCATTTCCAAAGTGACATGGGCTTTATCCGGAAGACTATTTCTACAGATTTGTGAGCCAAGGTCAATTGCTCTGTGACACCACTTCTTCTCCACAGAGTGGGGGCAGGTGGGTTTGCAGTGCTGCCATTAGGATTACTGAGTTTTCATTTACATCTGCTAATTGTTTCCAGAGCTCATTTCTCTTGGTCTGGGATTTGGAGGGTAATTCATCCTCTGCAAGTCTTCCTCATTCTAAGTCAGGAGCACATGAGGACGAGGCTTGTACTGGAGCTAAACTGTCGTGGAATGTCTCCTCTAGGAGACGGGTAGCGTAGAGAAGAGCTCCGAGCACCACAGAGGTGCATGCACACACTCGGGCTTGCCCTCCAGTGAGTCTTTCTTGTGCGCTCAGGACGCTAGTTAATGAAACCCATTTCCCAATGATAACACACTGAATAACCAGCATATCATTTGAAAGTAAGACTCTACCGTCTGCAAAGAATGTCCACATACTATGTCTCGTGCACTTTTCACGACAGTTCTGTGGGTTCCGTGGGATAACGTTTGTGGATGAAGCCGAAGGCCCGCAGGAAGGCCATCCCCATGTGTCGCCTCCAGTGGGGAGCAGGGCCTCACGCTCGGGTGCACCAGCCAGACTGGCTTCCAGCTTGGCGGCTGAATCAGGCCGTCCGCGCAGTGACTTAACAGAATGTTTCTCGGTGGAGGGGAATGCTCAGGGTGACTTGAGAACAATTAGCTCTGCACACTGACCCTGTACTTCTTAACTTTTCCTCACAGTTGACAACAAGGACAAACTGGAGAAGGCGTCTGGACTGAAAATTCTTCACGCTGGAAGCGGGTCGGTGAGTAGTGGAGGGTTGCCCTCCGAGATGCGCGTGGTCGGCGGCCAGGGGGCAGGCCCGCGGACAGGCCAGGTGATGGCATGCTGACTTAGGGGAGGCCAGTTGGCTGGTTCCTCGGGTGGCTTGAACACACCCATTCGCGGTGCCCGGCTAATGTGACGCTGGTTTGAGTTGCCTTTGAACCCATCATAGGTCAGTTTTTCTCCCTGAGAAAAAACAGTCCTGCGTCAGGAAAACATTGCTATTCAGAGAACACATGCTTCCTTTTCAGAGGTTTTGTAATTGCTACATGTGTAGGCACGAGCCAGTGAGGGAGGTTCTTCTCTCCTCGGGGGAGTCGGCAGACCCGTTTGGGTTAGGGCGCCATGCACATGTGAAGGCTCTGTGGCATGACTCCGTCCACCAGCGGTGGTGCCCTCACGTGGCCGTGTTGGTTTCAGAGACAGGCACTTGACCAAATGCTCCATCAGCAATTAAAGCTGATGTCAGTCACCTCCAGGAAGCCGGGCCAATGCTTGCGTTCCCCGTCTTGGGGCAATTTAATGAATTGTAGGCAAAAGAGCGGACGTGGTTCCTCGCAGGAGTGGTATGTGGGCCTGCGTAAGGCAGCGCAGACCGAGACCAATCGTGCCATTGCGCTTGAGAGTTTAGATTTCACGGCACTCGGGATTACAGATAATTAGCTCTTACGGGGCAGCTTATTTATGAGTACTCCCTGCTCCCCAAGAGACGTCCTCCGCAGAGCCACTCAGAGACGAGCTGCTCTCTTGGGGAATCTCCTATTCGGCAGCCAGAGTCCTGGCCCTTGAAGTAGGAACGTGCTTAATTAGTTGTTCTCCACAGCCTGGCTCCGGTGCTTCCTGAGCGGTAGGTGGGTAGGAATAGTCTTGCGGGGAAAGCGGCCTGTGCCGTGCGCTCTGTTGCAGGGATGTGGCAGGCGGAGTGCAGGGGGCCCAGTGGAAGCTCATCGGCAAAGACCTGACAGGACCGAGACTCTGCTGGTTTGGTGCTCTCCCTGCCCACCGGCTGGGGCCAGAGCGTGGAGCGTGCATTAGGCCAGGACATCCCACTCTGCCCCACTGCAGCGGGTGGTGGTCTTGGCAGGTAGTGAGCGCAGTGGGGGCGGGGAGGCCGGAGAGCGGCCAAAGCCCGGGGAAGGCGTGGTGGCCGGTGACAGAAAGGCCCCGACAGGGCGGCGGGTCGGAGTTGTGATGGAAGGTTCTGGATGTGCTGCCCCCGCTTTCCTGTCCTGTCCCATCCTCGTCAGGTGGGAACCCCTTCTGGTGCCACGTGGTTCCCATGGCAGGTGGCCAGGGGAGAACGTCCCCAGTGCTGCTGGCCAAGAAAGCTCTGGCTCCACAAGTCCTCTGCCCACGAGGGTCCGTGGGCCACGTGGGAGGCCGGCTGCGCTGCCCCGGGGGGGTGTGCTGTGGGGCCGGCCCCCGAAGCCCCAGGGCTCCTCTTCCGAGGGAAACATGGCCTCCCGTGGTTTCGGGAAAGAGAGGACCCACCAGGGCTGAGGCCACGGGCTGGCTGCCATGGAGCGTGGCCTTCCCAGGAGCGTGACAGCAAACACTGTCCTCCGTGAAACCTGAGCTGTGGCCTGTTGAGGACTCGGAGGGTCTGGGAGCTGCAACTTCATGTCCTCGCTCCTCCCCAGCGTCTGGGCCAAACCCTGTTCCCGTGGCCCCTGCCTCCCTCCCGCTGGTCTGCTCGCCTGTCCGAAGCTTCTGCCCCCGAGCTGTGAGGTGAGGCCCTCCTCCCCCAGGCTCCATTCTCCCCACAGGACTCCGTGTCCTCTGTTGTCCAAGGAGGTGCTTGCAGTCTCCGCCTCGCGGGGTCACTGGCTCGCGGCCCCTCACAGCCAGCCGTGGCACCATCTGATGTCCACTTCCCACAAAGGCCACTCTCCCAGGTTCTGCCCCCCCCAGGGGTGCACGTGGTCCTCCTGTGGACACGAGCCCACGCCCAAGCCCGCCCCACACCTGGGGCCTGTGTGAAGCCGCAGACTTCTGAGAGCAAGTGTAACAGCCCCCTCACGTCATGTCTTTATTTCTTTATTCCTTTTGGAATCTGGAGATTACCCTTCCTTTTCTTTGGTCTTAGTTGTGTATGGTTTTAAGTGGATGTATTTTCTTTAGTGCTTCCATGTGTCTACACTGAGAGGCGCCTACCCTGTGCAGTTTGGCACTCCGCTCATTCATCCTAACGATATGCACTAAGCACCTACTGTGTACCGGGCACTGTTTAAGGACCGGTCTCGGCAGCGAACAGAGAGACAAACCTCCCACCTGTGGAGCTCCCCTTTCCCTGGAAGCTGGGGTCCACTGAGGGTTAAGGTTCACCATCTCCTCTCAAGACAAAGTGGCCTCGTCACCTGCATTGGGTTTTGTCGGAGGTGAGCAAGCCATCTCTGTCCATTCTGGGTGACGAGCTTCGCACCAAGGTCTGGAGAGCCTCACATCGTCGCTTTTTTCTTGACTTACAAATGCGCTCACCCTCACCTCCCTGGACCTCCACCAGAATCACTACCTCTTTCATGCATCCCCCGTCCGTCCACAAGTAGGGAGCACGGCTGCATGTTGTCTGGAACATCCATGTTTTAGTGTGAATGTGTGTCTTCTTCCATGTGCCCCCCCCCCATTTCTGGGTTGCGGGCGTTTCTCCCTGGCTTTGCTATCCCCTCCTCGCCAACGGACTGCAAACTCATTACCAGCAGACCACAGACAAACACTCAACGCCACCAGACGGTCATGTCCAAGGATGCTCACTTGCCCAGAACACTGACTTTAAAGTTCTCCTCCTTCCACAGCCGCCCCCACGTGTGTGTGCACCACGCATCCGCCACCCTCAGTCTGTGGTCCTGACGTGCGCTGCACGGGGCAGAGCCCTGCGCCCTCCTGCGTCTGAACCACCAGCTGGAATGAGTGTTTGGGTCTCCCCAGGCATGAGAGGTGCCGGCTCTGCCCTTTGCTGCTTCCTGCAGTTTATACACCAGGCGCCCCCTTCTCTGGCTCGCTACTGTCAGCAAACAAACACACGGGGTATTTTCCATGTTGTTGAATAAAAACCCCTTGACACCGGATGGTATCTCTGACCCCAGATCCCTTCACAGCAAAACCCTTCATTCAACATTTGTGTGTACCCCCCACCCAGCACCGCACCCGATTGCTCCCGTCAGCCGGGTCAGGACTTGAAGGTCCCGCCCTCAGCGCCGTCTGATGCGTGGTTGCCACAAGGACTGAGCTTCCTTGTCCTCATGGCGGTCCAGCTGGTTTTTGGAACCCTGGCCATGCGGAGGGCCCTGCTCTGCCCCCGGGTCTCCGACTGCCCCCAGGCCCAGTCTTTTCATTCACCTTGTACTGTCTCCCCAGGGCTCACTTATTCAAGAATGGTGACCCCAAATTTAGATCTCCAGACAGATGCACTCACTGTGCCCCACTCGGCCCTGCATTTCTGCACTCAGAGGTCTGCACAAAGTGGGCAAAGCAGGACGCTTGATTTCCCTGCCAGCCCATCTCTGTCCCCAAGCATCCCTGTCGGTCACACCACACCGTCTACGCACCGGATTGGGCCAATTCACGGAGACTTGAGTTGCACTTAGATTGTTTGTGATGATGACTTCAGAAAATTGAAGGAATCACCCTCTGCTCGTTCTGGATGTCCACCCTTCTCACCCGGGTGGGGGGTCTGCCTCGGTGGGTGGGCTGCTGGTGATGCGGTGGGTGGGGCGGCGGTCATGGGTCCCAGGGTGGGGGTGGGGAAGGCCAGCGAGCCCACCATCACAGCGCTGGCTCCTTCCTTTCCACCCACCTGATTGTTTGCCCTCAGGTCCCCGATCGGAACCTGGACGTGGGGGCTCACCTACCACACCCCCTGGGAGCCCCTCTGTCTTGTCGGCAGCCCCAGGGCTTCCTTGGTACGCCAGGGGTTTGGAGACCAGCATGGCGGTATTCCCTCACCTGGAAGTTGACTGAGGTCGTTCTGGTGGGTTCCCCAGCCCAGGACCCCCGCGTCCCCCTGGACTTCTGCCAAACCCATCCACATTCAGAAGCCACCCTGGACAGAGGCTAGTAGATTGGGAGCCGGTTTTGGAAAGTGAAAATGGGAACAAAGGGGGCAAGTGGAGGTATTTCTAAAAAGCTAAGGATGTCTGTTTCTCTAATGTTAACTGCCTCACGCAGTGTTCAACCTGATTTTGACCATTCCGATTTTTTTTTGAAATGTATTTGATATGAGCATCCCCATTACTTCCTGAGTCTGCATGCGCAGCAGAGGGTGATTGCCAGGAGCTCGGCAGTCTCTCTCCCTGTCACTCATGACTCACGCACGTGGTGACAGAACGCAGCGTTAAAGCCCTCTAAGCCAAAGGGAAATATCTCAAAACAAAATGTAAAGGAAATGAACAGCTTACAGTATACCCACACGTTCCTAATAGATTGGGGGTATTTTGATGTATTTCAGGATCTGATTTCTGACATCTTGAAAGTTGTTTGCATTTTCTTCAAATTAATGAAGTCCTATTTCTTCCAAATATTATAATATTATAAGAAAAACTCAGATATTTAGAAGGAAGATAATCTAGGTGATTGTCCCCAGGAGGGCAGACCCATGAGTCTAGCTCCCACAAGTGCATCTGAAATAAGAATTACTCTCTGATCTCTTGATGGCATGATGAACACACAGCTGCATCTCAGCGGGAGAATAGCTGGCCTGCGAGGCTCAGAAACCCAGCGAGGGGACGTAGGAGGCCGCACCCTTCACCACACAACGGTCTTGGTTCAGACCAAGTGCAACGGGTCAGCCACAGAGCGGCTGCCCTGGGTGGTCATGAGCCCCCTGTCACCCGGCAGATTCATGGGGAAGAGGGATGGCCATCTGTTCGGATTCCAAAAAAAGGAAATCTTTCCATCTAGTGTAGGGAGGGGAAAGTTTTCCTCAAGCCTCCTAGGGTCCTTGGCTGGGTCCGACAGTTAAACCGACAAAGACAGATGAGCGGG